GCCTGACGGGAGCCACGTCTGTCCCGGTCGGGGACTGAGCCGCTATTGGCGTCCGGGCCGCGATCCGGGGGCTGCTGGGAAGATGGCGGACTCGGTGGCCCGCCGATGAGGAAGCCGCGGAGGGAGCCCGGCTCCCGGGCCCCGAGACCGACTGAGGGAGCGACCTGCGCGGGGCCTGGGGAGTCATGTAGGGGTGGCATCTGCGGGGCGGGCTGCGGGCGGGCGGCGGGAGTTGGCGTTGGCGACCATGACCACGGTCTGCTGGCGTCCCCGGGCTCGGGTGGGTGTGGGGGTCCCTGACACGGCCGACTCCGCACCTTTGCAAAGCTGCGCGCTCGGGCTCCACGGGCGCCCCGCGAGGTGGGCGCTGCGTTCTCGTTTCACGGGTGAGGAGGCTTGGGCTGAGAGACGAAGCCACTTGTCCAAGGTCATGCCGGTGGTAAGCGGGAGCGCCCAGCATGGAACCCAGGACCGCCGGCTGCGGAGCCCGCGTTCCACCCTCCTCGCCGCTGCCGCCTCCTGCGGGAGGGGGAGGTGGTCGGGAGGGCGTATCGACGGGGCCAGCTGGGCTCCAGGCTGGGCACGACCACTAACCCGATTCGTGACCTCAGGCTTCACTGCCTTTCCTCTCTGGGCCTTGGTTTCTCCACCTGTGAAATCGATGTGGTGCCAGCCCTGCCTACCACCTCATAGACGTGTGTAGAGGACCAGAGGAGATACGCACTGCATGTGGAATTGCTTTGTAAATATCACTGTGCCGCGTACACCGAAGGTGCCGTTTCAAAGGATGGAAGGAGGCAGAGAGGGGCAGGGTGGGGAAGACTAGAGCAGTCTCCAGGAAGAGTGAACATGAGTCTGGGTTGCTCCGACCCCAGGGCCCTCTGAATTGGGGAGCGAGGTAAGGAGTAAGATAGCGGGTTTTCCTCCCCTTTGGAGAAAACCTCACCCCCTTTTCTGGGCTGCCCCTCAGGGTCTCCAACACCAAACTCCATGCTTCGAGTCCTGCTCTCTGCCCAGGCCTCTGCTGCTCGGCTCTCTGGCCTGCTGCTGCTCCCGCCAGTACAGCCCTGTTGTCTGGGGCCCGGCAAGTGGGGGGACTGGCCTCCTGGAGGAGGCCTCCACGCAGGCCCCGTGCAGGGGCTACAGCGGCTTCTGGAACAGGCGAGGAGCCCCGGGGAGCTGCTGCGCTGGCTGGGCCAGAACCCCACCAAGGTGCGCGCCCATCACTACCCCGTGGCACTTCGTCGTCTGGGCCAGCTCTTGGGGTCTCAGCCACGGCCCCCTCCTGTGGAGCAGGCCACACTACAGGACTTGAGTCAGCTCATCATCCGAAACTGCCCCTCCTTTGACATTCACACCATCCACGTGTGTCTGCACCTTGCAGTCTTACTTGGTGAGGAGGGTGTCTGGGGGTGGGTGGGTGTTAACGGAAGAGTAGAGAAAGAGCATAGAAGACCCGAGATCACTGACAGAATTCACCTCTCAGGCTCTGCCAGGAATGGCGCGTACCCTGGCACGCTTGCTGCCCCTCCCGTCTTCACAGCAGACACCAGGAGTCCAGCAGCCTTCGTTCCAGCTTAGCTAGGGTGCCAACCCTGATTCCTTCCAATACAGTGCTCTAGAAAGCCACTATAGCGTGTCACCATTGGCATGAGATGAGAAGTCACTTGCCATCTTTGTATAAGGCCTTCCCCACAGACCGTCCTGATACCATACGTTCACATGGCGTTTCACCTTTCTCCAGTGTTTCCACTTACACTGTAGCAACCCTTCCAGTCCAGAACGTGGAGACGTGAGAGGTTGGGAATTCACCCACTGAACCCAGGACTGGAACAGAGCAGCTCTTCGTTACCAGGACTGCCTCCTCTGACCCTCTCCCTCTCAGGCTTCCCATCAGATGGGCCCTTGATGTGTGCCCTGGAGCAGGAGAGAAGGTTCCGCCTCCCTCCGAAGCCAACTCCCTCTCTGCAACCTGTCCTTCGCGGTGGGCAAAGATTGGAAGCTGCTCTGAGCCGCCCTCGTTTCCTGAGGCATCCGCGGCAGCATCTCATCCGCAGCCTGGCAGGTGCTGGAGGGGACTAAAGGCAGGTGGCGGGGAGGGGCCGAAGAGGAGGCAGGTGGTGGTGTCTGGGCTAAAAGGCGTCGTCCAGATCTGGCCCGAGGGTCCAGCATAATAGGCTGTTTTTCACAGAGGCCAGGCCGGAGGAACTGACACCCCACGTGATGGTGCTCCTGGCCCAGCACCTGGCCCGGCACCGGTTGCGGGAGCCCCAGCTTCTGGAAGCCATTGCCCATTTCCTGGTGGTCCAGGAAATGCAGCTCAGCAGCAAGGTGGGATTACCTCCCGCCCTGCCATGCTCCTCTCCCAGCCCTCCTCAGGCACCGTGTCAGGCCCAGCCCCCCATGCAGCTTGACCGGCTGCTGCTTCCTGCCGCAGACAACCAGCTAGGCTCTCTGCTCTGGCCCCTGGGGGTTCGTCTTTGCTCACACCCTCTTGGCTTGTCCACCTACCCAGCGTGTATGCCTGGTTCTCTGCAGTTCTCCAAGCACTCGGCGCTGTCTTAGCTTCGTTGAGCCCACCCCTCTAAGTCTTCAGGGCCGGCCCCCACAGCGACGTCTCCTCTACTGGTTTGATTAATCACATGGGGCTCAAGACACTGGTTACGCTGTCAAACTTCTGGTGTGTACGCCGGGGTAGAGGGATCGTTCTGCCTTTACAGAGACAGCAGCTTGCAGGCCAAGCCTCCCCGAGGCTCAGCTTGTGGCGGATACCGGAGAACTGTTTCGTGCGGGGTGAAGGGCTGCTCTTCCTTCACAGGTGGTACAGAAGTTGGTCCTGCCCTTTGGGCGGCTGAACTACTTGCCCCTGGAACAGCAGTTTATGCCCTGCCTTGAGAGGATCCTGGCTCGGGAAGCAGGGGTGGCTCCCCTGGCTACTGTCAACATCTTGATGTCACTGTGCCAGCTGCGGTGCCTGCCCTTCAGGGCCCTGCACTTTGTCTTTTCCCCAGGATTCATCAACCACATCAGTGGTGCGCGGACAGGAGGGCTGGCTGGGTCCCCGAGGGCCAGCGGGCAGGGGCGAGTGGGGGTGGGGCCCCGCAGCCCAGCGAGCCTCCGGCCTGCTTTCCCACAGGCACCCCTCACGCCCTGATTGTGCGGCGCTACCTCTCCCTGCTGGACGCAGCCGTGGAGCTGGAACTTCCAGGATACCGGGGTCCCCGCCTTCCCCGAAGGCAGCAAGTGCCCATCTTCCCCCAGCCACTCATCACTGACCGTGCCCGCTGCAAGTACAGGTGGATGGGGCAGCCTGGGGGAGGGGAGGGGAGGGGACCAGCCTGCAAGCAGCACAGAGTAGAGGAGCCAGGGGGACCCTGAACTGTCCGTGCTCGTGCGCCCTAAGTGGTCACGGGAGGGGACAGAAATGGGCCTCGGGACATGGAAGGCATTCGCCCAGGGTGGAGAAGTGTACAGGAGTGATTTAGGAGGAGACTCTCAAGCCTTTCCATATCGGTGTTCCCCCTCCCCTCTCAGTCACAAGGATATAGTGGCGGAGGGGCTGCGCCAGCTGCTGGGGGAAGAGAAGTACCGGCAGGACCTGACCGTGCCTCCAGGCTACTGCACAGGTGAACCCCAGGTGGGGTGGCCCAGCCCGCAGGGATACAGAGCCGTGGCTGGAAGCCAGCGGCCCTTTCTCTTCCTCCCTCCAGACTTCCTGTTGTGTGTCAGCAGCTCTGGTGCCGTGCTGCCTGTGAGGACCCAGGACCCCTTCCTACCATACCCTCCCAGGTCCTGTCCCCAGGGCCAGGCTGCCTCTCAGCCCACGACCCACGACCCGGCCCAAAGGTAAGGGGAGAGGGCGGAGGAGCCTCCCCTGCCTCTGTGGACAGCGCCCTGAGCTATGGTCCGCCCCCTCCAGGGTGGTGCTGATGCTGCGGGAACGCTGGCATTTCTGCCGCGACGGCCGAGTGCTGCTGGGCTCGCGGGCCCTACGGGAGCGGCACCTGGGCCTGATGGGCTACCAGCTCCTGCCGGTGAGCGGCCCCTGCCTCGCCCCGGGAGAGACTCCACGCCGTCCTTCCTCCCCTCAGCCCACGGGCCCTGTGGGTAACGAGCTGTCCTCCCCTCCCCCGCAGCTGCCCTTCGAGGAACTGGAGTCACAGAGAGGCCTGCCCCAGCTCAAGAGCTACCTGAGGCAGAAGCTCCAGGCCTTGGGCCTCCGCTGGGGGCCTGAAGGGGGGTGAGGGGGCACACACGGGGCTCAGGATGACCCTCCGATGGGGGGTGGACGATTTGCACTTTGGCTTTCTCTGTTTCGGTTTCTCATTAAAATCCCTTTCCTTCCTCATCTTGCATCTTGTTTCTGGGACAGGGAGCAGGCTGGGTTCCCCCACCTCTTTCCCATCCGTGCCCCCTCCCCATACAGAGACAGAAGGCCAAGGATAGGTGGGGGCCGAAGCACTTTACTGTGGGGGGGCGGTGAGGATGGTTAAGGGGACTTTAAATTATTCACTTAAATAAAAATGAGGGAGGGGAGGGGGAGAGCACCCCCCAGCCCCTGTTCCCTCTGTCCGTCTGTCCCTCGGCTGTCGGTCCAGGCAGCGGCTACACAGGCATGGGCATCTCATTGTACTCGTCCACACCCTCCCGCTCATCGAACACTGGCTCCGCCTCATTAGCATCCAGCTGTGGGGGTGGAGGGAATCAAGAAGGTGGATCCTGACCTCAAGCTGGAAGGGGACCCCAGAGGGCGCCGGCGGGGCTGGTGGGGAGGGGCAGGAGGCCTTACACATTTCATCTCTCGCTCGGTGAAGATTCGGGTGAGCACCACCATGCGGAGCGGCACTGTGAGGATGAGGATGAAGGGGAAGGCCAGGGAGGCGGCTGTGGACATGACCGCCCAGAGCAAGGCCAAGCAGAGCAGCTGCAGGGCTGTGAACAGGTGCATACGGAGGGTCCGAACCTGGGGGTGAGGCGGGAGGAGACACGTGAGCCCAGGCTTCTCCCCGGCCTCGGAGGGCCACCTGGCCCGCCACATTCAGGAGGCCCGCCGCATTCTTCCCTGCACAGGGGTGGGGATGGAAGTGCCTTCCTGGGTGCTTACCAGAGCTGCGTCTGTGCAGACTCAATGGCGGCTGGCCCAAGTGGGCAGGTGGGGTGCCGGAGAGTATGACCCCCCCCCACCCCCCGCAACGGACCCGGAGGGGCAGAGGCACGGGGCTCTTCGAAGCAGGCTCTTACCTTCTTGACGTAGGTCACATCTGGGTGGTGTTTGGGGGGCATGAGCAGCAGGTGCAGCCGCTCGTAGAACTGGATCCCGTTAAGGGAGGTAACTCCCATGTACAGAAAAATTCCAAAGAGCACAGCCAAGGGGATCTGCCGGAGCAGGTCCCCAATAACCAAGGAGAGGCCTGGCGGGGGGGGGCGGAGAGGGAGGAACGGCTGGCACCAGGGCTCCCCATCCTCAGAGACCCGTCTGGGAAGGGCGGGGGCAAGAGGTGGACGTACCCACAAGCAGGGCGACCAGCAGCCCTGTTACCCGCTGCTCCTTGACCTCCTGGATCTTGGGCTTGTCCCCAGGCGCCACGGCCTTGCTCATGACGGTGAGCGCGTTGGCGTGGGTGACGGAGCGGACAGTGGCGGCAGCCAGCCAGGGCAGGCCGAAGAGGGCACAGATGCCTCCCATGGCCACGATAAGCAGCAGGTCCAGGTGGAAGCCGGAGCCCTTCTGCAGCATCCGCTCCTTCTTGGAGATGATCAGCCTGAGTGGGGACAGGCACTCACTGACGCCCTGGAACCGGCTTGGCACAGAGCCGTGTCTTTCCAGAGCATCCAGCCAGTAGCCTCTGTCTGTTTTTGGAAGCTGGTGGTCCCTGCCCATCCCGTCAGGATAAGACCTCTGCCACGGCTGAGCCTTCCCCAGGCCACCCTCCCTGCCCTTCAGGACAGCTTCCGGTCCGTACTGCGCCCATCCCAGCAAACGTCAGTGGAACTTTCTATTGTCTACAAAATAAACTCTAGGGGCCAGCCAGGCATCCTGGGCTCCCCCCACCCAGTGCACCCATTATCTCCCAGGCTGGCTGGGATTCCCTTCCGTGAATGATGTGGTTCCTGTCCACAGGGTGCCCTCCTGGCTGGGACCACTCACGTGGTGATCTGAGTCTCCATGAAAATGAGGATGAAGACCAAGATGGCGGGCAGCAGGCTGGCAACCATCATCCACACGGGGAAGGAGCTGTTCTCCCCCAGAGGGTTGATGACCCAGCCCCGCTTTTCTGGGGCTGTCACGGAGAATCCACTGGGCACGCTCAGCTTCTGCAGGACAGAGGTGGGCCTGGGGGTCGGTGAACCTCGGAGGGAGAGCCCTGAACTGCGACAGGCAGGGTGAATGCCGAGGGCCTGCTGTGGCAGAGGCCTGGTGTGTGCCCAGCTGAGAGGCAGGGGCTGGGCTGGAGAACATCTGGAGCCGGGTGCCAGGCAGCACCCCCTCCCTGCCGCGTGTGCTCCACCTTACCTGGGTATAGGTGTCCTCAATACTGTAATCCACAAGCACCATGATGAGGATCGCGATGGGCACCCCAAAGTCGCCAATCACCCGCCGCACCTGTGGGCAAGCACCGTGCTCAGGCCCCCCGCCTCCCTCCAGCCGTGACTCAGTCACCCTTCCTGGCCCCCCGCTTCCGCCTCCCTCCGGCATTTCAGCCCACACACCCGGCCAGGGAAGAACCGGCTGTTCTTGAATTTGCGCAGGAAGAAAGCGATAAAGAAGGTGCCGGCCATGAGCACCAGCGACAGCAGGGCCGTGTTGGGCTGGCCCCGGGGCCTCCCCTGCCCGGCTGGCACAGATGAGCTCCCATTCCCCGGCCCCAGCGTGGCTCCTGCCCCGTGCCACGTGGTGTTCTCGCCGCTGTCTGCCTCAGAGCTATTGGAGACGGAGCAGCCGTGGAGGGGGTGTTCCTGGAAGATCTGGGGAGAGGACAAAGGACTCCATCAGTGAAACTGGCAAGATTTCTGGGCCTGGCTGTATGCTGAGCGGGGCAGACGGGATAGGGGATGGTGGGCCTGGCCTCACAGGGGTTGTCCTGCTGATCAAGAAAATGGCTGAAGTCGCCAGCTGTGAGCAAGGGAAACCGGGCATGAAGAGAGGGGCTCGTCTACTTCGGGCAGCTGCGGACTACAGAGGGGCAGAGTGCGGGGCGCAGAGGACTGCAGTGGCAGTCTCCTAAGCCTGACCCAGGCAAGGGTCTGGTGCCCAAGCCGGGACTCTTTGTCACCTTGGGGGCGTTTCTCTTCTATGCTTCTGGGTTGTTTGCCACTTCAACAAAAGGACGTATTACTTTTGTTATTAAAGCACGTGTGAGGGGGGCGCCTGGGTGGCTCAGTCGGTTGAGTGTCCGACTTCAGCTCAGGTCATGATCTCACGGCCCGTGAATTCGGGCCCTGTGGCGGGCTCTGTGCTGACAGCTCGGGGCCTGGAGCCTGCTTCAGATTCTGTGTCTCCCTCCCCTCAGCTCCTCCCTTGCTCACACTCTCTCAAAAATAAAAAGATAATTAAAAAAAACCAAAAACACGTGGGTTTTTAAGATTGACGTGCAGCTCCAGTATGTGTGTTGGTGGTGACAGGGAGGGTGGCGAGGGGCCAGGAGGAAGAACCAGCCTGTGCTCTGTGGGCTCCTCAGACAGCAGCCCAGGGGAGCTTCGGACAGCCTGGAACCTCACACCCGGAAGCGAGAACGAGAGACGGGCAGGATGTGCCCTGGCTCCCTCTGGTCCCGAGGCCTCACCCCTCCCAGCCCTATTCTCAGCAGGGCCTGCTCACCTTAATCAGCTTGTAGAAGGTCTCGTAGATGAAGATGAGGGAGATGAGGAAGGCAAAGATCTCCTGGGTGAACCGGGAGACAAAGCGCACCAGGAAGCTCCCCTCCAGGGCCACCATGAGCAGGGCCAGGAGCACCAGCCAGAAGCCGATCCACACGCGGCCCACCAGGTACTCCAGGTTGTTGCTCCTGCAGAACTGGGGGGGCGACCGGTCAGGTCCAGAGCCCGGGGGGGGGGGGCTAACAAGGCGGGCGTGTCGGGGAACAGGAGGGGCAGCTGCGGTGGGGCAGGAAGAGCCAGCCCCCAGGTAGCCTGCGGGCCCTTACCGAGAAGAAGGCCTCCTCAAACACCAGCAGGGGCCCGGAAAAGCCGATCACCAGCAGTGGCTGGGCCCCCAGCAGGCAGAAGATCACACCCTGGAGCGCCGTGGACATGATCAGCTCTGACACCCCAATCAGGTCCTGAGTTTTCTCTCCTGGGGTGGCAGGGAGCAGCTCAGGAGCTGGCAACCAGGGCCCTGTGCGTGCCCTGCCCCCACCCGAAGCCTCTCCTTACCCAGCAGCCCCCCGAAGGTGATGGCAGGGGACAGGGCCGCGAAGTAGATGAAGATGACGGCGGCCAGGCACTGGGGGTCAAGCGCATCTCGGAAGTCACTCAGGTAGTGGGGATAGCGGCGCCGCACGTCCCGGATCAGGCCCCCAAAGGGCCGGCCCGTCCGCCGGAGGGGATCGTCTTCGACTGCGCCTGTCGCCTCTACCATCTGCAGGAGCGCTGCAGCCCAGGCCTCCGTCAGGGCGCCCGCCGCGGCCCCTCCGTGCTCACCCCGCTCCTCCACGTACACACCCCGGAGCCCCCGAGCCCCCGCGGGCAGCCCGCTTCTCGCCCCTGGCCCACACTGGCCCATACCCTTATCTTGGGCCGACTTGGGCTCCAGTCCCGCCCCCGTGGGCAACAGCCGGCCCTGCTCCTCTCGCTTCTTGAGCATCTGGCGTTGGAAGTGAGCGACGGATCGCAGCAGCTCCTCGCCCTGCACCTCCGAGGGCGGCAGCACCACGCTGCAATCCAGGAAAGCGTTGATGGCGGTCAGCAGGTCCTCCCGCTCGTCTGCCAGGTAGGCTGCCTCGTGGAATTGCTGTCAAAGCAGGCCGGGGACCGGTGAGGGCACGGGGCGAGGCCGAGGGGCCCGGAGCAGGGCTGGGAGAGACCCCCGGGGCGTCCCGGCGGGCGCTGGGGAGGGCCTGACCTTGTCGGACATGAGGGTAGAGATAGAACGGCCGATCTCGTGGTAGTCCATGTTGGCGCTGCTCGGGCCCAGAAGCAGGAAGAGGAAGCGCACGGGCACAGGTACCTCCAGCACCGCGTCCAGCTCCACGGCCTCCCGCAGCCGCACGAAGGCCATGGTGGGGCGGGAGAGGAACTCCACGCAGCCTAAGGGCACGGTGCCATCACGGGCAGGAGAGGGCACGGGCCGCCCCCCGGCCCCTGGTCCCCAGCCCCAGGGTGGCACCGAGGCAGGCGTGGCCGCCGACACCCCTGCCCCCGAGACTCGCCCACATACCCACAAGGACCACCGTGGCCTCGGCGTTCTCGGGGATCTTCTCCAGGAGCTTCAGTTCGTGCTTGGACTTGGAGCGAGTGATGCCGGCTGGCGGGGCTGGAGGTGGCAGCTCCCGCTGGAAACACGGAAGAACGGAGCTCAGCCCTGCCGGCCCCAGCCCCCACCCCGCCGCCCCACCCGGCGTGTTCACACTGGGCTCGCTCGCAGTCCCTCGGCCAGCCGTGGTGGCTGGGACCTGAACCAGGCAGGGCCACCGTTCCCCCTCACCTCTCGTTCCACCTCTAGCCGAGTCTCGGGAACGCCTCCGATGAGAGGCTCAGTGACATGGGGGTCGCTCTCGGCCCCCTGGCCGTGGTGATGCCCTAGCAGGGAGCCCAGGGAGCCGGCTGAGATGTTTCGAGGGAAGGAGAAGTCCTTCTCATCACTCGGGTGGCTAGAAGAGCAGAGGGCGGTGAAGGAAGGAGAACGGTGGCCAGGGCAAGGGTCAGGCAGGCAGGGGCAGCAGTGGGGGGGGGGGTCTCACCTGTGTTTCAGCAGCAGGG